CGAGGCGAGGCAAAGACCTCTTGCTTGCTGCTCGGTTGGCTGAGACTCACCGCCAGGGATAGGCCAATCTGCCTTTGCTTGGATCTACATGGCATGATGATGACGACTGCGAGAATAATCATAACCAGAAGCAACATCGGGCTCGAAGGACACGTTTCACCCAGCTCGCACCCAAGCACACTCCATCAGATGAGGGGATGGCGACACATACGAGCCCGATAGATCAACGCCCACTTCCTTCTGTCATGGATAATATGGCGCGTCACCCTGTCCAGCTCATGTTGTACGTCCAGAGATGGATGTACGCTGGGTACATGTAGCCGCCATAACCAGCAAGCGGTCGAAATCGTACCGACTTGGATTGGCTGACCGGGAATTACCATGGACACTGCTGCTATTATCAGCTTGAAAACGCCCATGAGATGGGGCCAGCAGTTGGCGTACAACTGCAGAGTCTTGGGACGATGCATACCTGCAGCCATGGCAACAGCGTGGCCATGAGTCGTCCGCCTCGAAGGCGTGGCAAGGTCATGTCTCACGAGTATGGAGTCCTATCTCCACAGCGGCGATTCAAGGACCTATTTCGGGGGACTCAAGAGTCATACAAATAAAGCAGCCCAGATTCCAATAGAGGTCCATTCCTCCGAGTGTGTGTAGACCCCGAGGGGGAGGGGGGGGGGGGGGGGGTCCACAGGTAGCAAGATTCGTTGAGAGGACCACATGAATCCTCCTACAACGCGGTACGACCACTGGTCAATGAGGACACAGCATCCGTTCACATTGGGGTCAGGTTGTGTGCCGAGTTGCGAGGGGGGAGCTGCCCCTCTGCGTCTTCTGCTTGGCTGAGTCGGTCATGTTGAGTGGCGGTATGGGTGTAAGCTGGGCGAGTGACTTGGTGCAGGCTGAGGTTGCATCTGTGACGATGCTTGGACCCTCATTCTCTGGATGATGTTAGTATCCTATTCTATGGCTGGGCTGGTGTGGATGATGTCGCAGGTGGGAGGAATCTCACAGTAGGGGATCAACTCCAGCTGATGTCAGGGTCTCATTGCATGTCGATCTTGGTTCGAGTCCGGGGCATCTTCACGTAGGTATAGCCTCAAAAGCGATGTAGTTTCATGTTCCGTGACAAGAAAGGCCCCTCTTCGAGCCTTGGAACATCCTCCATGCAAAGATCAACCAAAGCCCAAGTCTCCTGTCAGGTGAGATCTGGACCGCATTGTTAAGTCCCAGGAGGCCATATAGATAGTCACGTGACGCCATGATCAGAGCTGCATCACGTGATATCAACCTCGCTCGAATCGGCTCCCGAAGAACAGGCTGGACACTGTCGCGTCAAGAGAAGGATTTCGCTCATCAGAGCTGTGCATTTCCAAGGGCATGAAGCTTCTGTAATCTCATCTGTAGTAGTATGTAGTGATTTGCTTGTTCAGGCGTGTCGTCTAGATTCTAGAGGCTGTTTTGCGCGCTGCTTGCTCACGTATCGATAAGGCGCCCCACTGTCGACTTGCAGATCGGAAGCGCCTTAGCATCTCATTTCACATCAGCATTTTTCTGAGCAGGTGTGAGAACTTCACGCCGAGCAAAGAAGAAAACAAGAGGCAGCCCGTCATGACGAGCCTCAAGAGACCTCAGGGGTCGGACCAGCTGTCCCAGAACATCTCCAACAAGGTCTATGTCCGGTCGACGCGCAGCGGAAAGGTGCAGAAGATTGTCCGGGAGGTCTATCTGAGAACGGATATTCCATGCTCATCCAACCTGTGCAGGGCCTGCTTGAGCCAGGCACCCCGAAATGCGGTCAATCAAGGTGAGTTGCCTTCAATGAGCTCATGATTTCTCAAGCTCTTAGGGCGATGAGTGAGACTGACGGCTTTGTTGGTAGCCTTACCGTTTGTTCTGTCGGCCAGACCGGCTGGAACCAAGTCGTATCCGCAGGGTCACTACTTGGTTCCCGATACCAACGCGCTGCTCAACGCCATGGACTTATTCGAGCAGAGCTCGTCATTCTACGACGTCATCATCTTGCAGACCGTCCTGGAAGAGCTTAAGAACCGCTCACTACCGCTCTACAACCGCCTCGTCGGGCTGACCAAGAGCGAAGACAAGCGATTCTATGTCTTCTTCAACGAGTTCCGGCTGGAGACGTATGTCAACCGCGAAGCCAACGAGACCGTCAACGACAGGAATGACCGTGCCGTGAGGCAGGCTGTCAAGTGGTACGGAGAGCACCTTGCGCTGACCAAGGCCGCGCGGGTCCCGGCCGTGGTCATGTTGAGCGACGACAGGGAGAATCTCAGAAAAGCCCGGGAGCAAGGCCTGCAGGCTTCTTCGCTGGCGGACTACGTTAGCGAGCTGGAAGACGGCGATAGGCTCTTGGACATGATTGCCGAGTCACAGCTTCAGGCGCAGGGTGGCTTCAAGCCATCTACTCAGCCCCTGTATCCGGAGTACTACACTTCTTCGAGAATGATGACGGGGGTCAAGGCGGGCCTGCTGCATCAGGGCATCTTCAATGTGTCTCCGTATAATTATCTCGAGGGTTCGATCAAGGTGCCTGCTTTCCCGAAACCTTTGCTTATTCTGGGTCGCGAGAACATCAACCGGTCTATTGACGGCGACGTTGTCGTTGTCGAGCTGCTGCCGCAGGATCAATGGAAGTCACCGTCGACAAAGATTATCGAAGAAGACACCATCACGAAGAATGAGAATGCGGACACAGAGGAGCGCCAAGACTTTATCTCGGATAAGGAGCGGAAGGCACTTCAGGAGGAGGTGAAAAGGACACAAAAGGCCACAGGAGAGAACCAACTGCAGCCGACAGCCAAGGTTGTGGGCGTGGTGAAGCGTAACTGGCGACAGTACGTTGGCCACATCGACCCGTCAACGGCCAGCAAGGCTCCGTCACAAGGCCGGAGACTAGACAGCGTCTTCCTCATCCCGATGGACAAGAAGATCCCCAAGATCCGTCTTCGTACCCGCCAAGTGTCTGAGTTGTTGGGCAAGAGACTCTTGGTTACAGTTGATTCTTGGGATAGAGATTCAAGACATCCCGTGGGGCATCTGGTTCGCTCCCTGGGAGAGCTCGAGACCAAGGCGGCGGCGACCGAAGCGTTGCTCTTGGAGTGGGACGTCCAGTACCGGCCTTTTCCCAAGACGGTGCTCGATTGCCTTCCAAAGGAGGGCCACGACTGGAGAGTGCCAGAGAGCAAAGAGGATCCTGGCTGGAGAGACCGAGAAGACCTTCGGGATCTCCTCATCTGCAGTATCGACCCCCCGGGGTGTCAAGACATCGACGATGCTCTTCATGCCAGGCTGCTACCGAATGGCAACTACGAGGTCGGTGTTCACATTGCGGACGTATCACACTTTGTCAAGCCCGCCAACGCAATGGACACGGAGGCGAGCATTCGTGGTACCACCGTTTACCTGGTCGACAAGCGCATAGACATGCTTCCGATGCTGCTCGGGACGGATCTCTGCTCTCTCAAGCCCTACGTCGAGCGCTTCGCATTCACAGTCATCTGGGAGCTTGACGAGAACGCCGACATTGTCAACGTGCGCTTCACAAAGTCGGTGATCAAGTCCCGCGAGGCATTCAGCTACGAACAAGCACAGCTCCGCATCGACGACGCGTCGCAGCAGGATGACCTCACAAAGGGCATGCGAATGCTGCTCATGCTCTCAAAGAAGCTCAAGAAGAAGCGTATGGACGCCGGTGCCCTGAGCCTGTCATCCCCCGAGATCAAGGTGCACATGGAATCCGAGTCCTCGGACCCCATCGACGTCAAGACGAAGGAGCTTCTCGACACCAACTCGCTCGTCGAAGAGTTCATGCTGTTCGCCAACGTCAGCGTCGCCGCCAAGATCTACGAGGCGTTCCCCCAGACGGCCATCCTGCGTCGCCACGCCGCTCCTCCCAAGACCAACTTTGACGAGCTGGCCGACCAGCTGCGCATCAAGCGCGGCCTGGAGCTGCGCACCGACTCGAGCAAGGCGCTGGCCGACTCCCTGGACAAGTGCGTCGACCCCAAGGAGCCCTTCTTCAACACGCTGGTGCGCATCATGGCCACGCGCTGCATGATGAGCGCAGAGTACTTCTGCTCCGGGACCCAGGCGTATCCCGAGTTCCGCCACTACGGCCTCGCCTCGGAGATTTACACGCACTTCACCTCCCCCATCCGTCGCTACGCGGACCTTCTCGCCCACAGGCAGCTCGCCGCCGCCATCGGCTACGAGGCCGTGCACCCTTCCGTCCGCAGCCGGGGCCGCCTGGAGGCCGTCTGCAAGAACATCAACGTGCGCCACCGCAACGCGCAGATGGCCGGCCGGGCGAGCATCGCGTACTACGTCGGGCAGGCCCTCAAGGGTAAGGTCGCCGAGGAGGAGGCCTTTGTGATGAAGATCTTCAGCAACGGCTTCGTCGTGCTGGTGCCGCGGTTCGGCATCGAGGGGCTGATTCGCCTGCGCGACTTGGCCGAGCCCGAGCCGGAGAGCGAGTACGACGCGGAGACGTATACGCTTACGACAAAGGGCGAGAGGAGCGTCAGGGTGGAGCTCTTCCAGAAGGTTGTCGTGAGGGTGCATGATGATAAGGATGAGAGGACGGGGAAGAGGGGTGTCAAGATGGAGTTGGTGAGTGCGTAAAGGGGCAACATCATTTTTCTCTCTTGGAACGCGGATTTGGGACTTGTCATGAGTTTTTACCTAGAGAACTGCTACTAGAGTCATACTGAATACATTAAGAGATCTGTGACTCAAATAGGCTTCTTTTTCTGCGAAAGACCTGTACATTTTATATGTATCAACATATCTAATGCGTACATCCGGCCCCATGTCCGTTTGCTTTTCTTGCCAAACCAGCCTACAACGCCAAACTCGTGATGAGAAATAAGATGAATGAAACAACTGCCCAAGTAGTTTTGAAAAAGTAACCATTGCCATGTAAGAGCCAAAAAGGAAAAAGGGAAAACCTCGCAAATCATGATAAGCTTCTCCTCCCTTCACTGCTCCATGGCATCCCCCTCATCCGCATTATTACCAGCCGAATCATCGCCCCACAGGCCGTCGAGCTTGAACTCGGCCGCCCACTCAGTCACAATCTGCTTCTGGTCGGGCATGACGTCCTCCTCGCCGGCGTTCTTGATGGCCGGCTTGGCAGCAGCAGAAGCAGCAGCGCCGGCAGCGGACTCGACGGCCAGGACGGGGGCCTCAACCCAGCCCTGGATGCGGCCGTCGCGCCAGTCGGTGACGACGGTCATGGCGGCGGCGTTGATGTTGGGGACGCCGCCGCGGCCGAGCCTGCCGCGCTTGCGGGCGACCTGGACGAGGAAGTCGGTGGTGATGTCGCCGTCGGCGGCGCTGGGGAGCAGGGCGGGGATGTCGTAGACGTCGGTGAGCTTCTGCAGCAGGTCGGGCGTGGCGGAGAGGCGGCGCAGGAGGAGGCTGACGGCGGGGACGGGGTCGTCAATCTGCTTCGGGGGCACGGCGTTGAGGAGGACGAGGTGGGCGTGGGCCTCGGTGGCGTTCTTGATGGCGACGAGCCCGCCGGACTGCAGGGACGAGCTGGACGGGAAGACGACGCCGGGGGAGTCGAGCAGCGTCAGCTTGCTGTCGATCTTGACCTTGCGGATGCTCGTCGTGACGCCCGCCTCGGCGCCGGCCGGGCAGGCCTTGGAGGCGCCGCCGCTGCCCTTGCCGCCCATGCGGCTCAGCAGCGCGTTGATGACGGAGCTCTTGCCGACGTTGGGGTACCCGATGACGCCCACGGACACGGCGCGCTTCAGGTTGCGGCTGGCGGCGTAGCTCTTGAGCGCCTTGAAGAGCGCGGCCGACGTGCTCTGGACCGTCAGGTCGCGGTGGTTAAAGACGTGCGCGTTGGCGGCCGCGTGCGACGCCCGCACCGGCAGCGTGGGGAAGTACCGGCGCAGGTAGACGAGCCAGTCGCGCAGCACCTTGGGCGGGATCAGGTCGACCTTGTTGAGGATCAGGATCAGGCGCTTGCCCCCCGAGGCGGCGGCCATGACGCTGCGCTCGACCTCGCGCGAGCGGGTGCCCTCGGGATCGCGGGCGTCGAGCACGTAGAGCACCACGTCGGCCTCGTCGACGACCTGCTTGAAGACCTTGTCAAACGTCTTGCGCGAAGAGGCCTGACCGGCGGAAACATGTGCGCCGTCGTCCGAGGCGTCGCTGTCACTATCCTCGTCGTCGTCGTCGTCATCGTCCTCCATGTCGTCGTCGCTGGCGGCAAGCGACTTGTCGTACTTTGCCGCCGCGGCGCGAGCGCTGGCAATCAGGGCCGCCATCGGGTTCGACTCGTCAATGTCCTCGTCCAGGTCGCCGTCCTCGTCCATCTGGTCCTCGTCCGCCACATCGCCGTCGTCGGCCATGGCATCCTCGTCCTCCTTGGCCTCGGCAGCGGCGCCGCCCGTCTTGGCGGCCTTTGCCATCTCTTTCCTCCGCTGGGCCTCCTCGGCCTTCTTGGCGCGCTTCTGCTCAATCTCCTCCAGGATCTTCTCCTTGTAGGGGAACAGGTTGGGGATGCCGGGGTCCTTCTTCAGCTTGGAGCGCCATTCCGGGTTCTTCTTGGCCAGCTTGCGGTCTTTTCGCTGCTTGGCGGCCGAGGCCTTTTGAATCTTGTTGCGGAGGCGGGTTGTCGTCCGCTTGGACTTTGGTTCTGCGCAAGGGTTCGGTTAGCCGGATGCGTTACAGTGATTGATTGTTGATTGATGAGGCCAGCGTTGGACATACTCTTTGGCTTGTTGATACTGCCCGCCATTGTGAATAGTTGCTGTCAACGGACTGATGGAGATTGGCAGCGATGGTTTGCTCTCGAGAGACGGACGGCTCTCCTCCAACTTGGTGGTTGTTGCCGTGCTAAGAAAAAAAAATTGAGTGGGATAACGATTCTGCCGGCGCGGCTGCACACCGCCTTCCTATCAGCCCCACATGTCTGTCTACGATAGAGCGGCATCGCATTTTGGAGATTCTATTCTACCTAGTTTATGTTTTGTCAGTAGTTGACAAGAGTATCCGTACATGTAGGAAAGCCATTGGTTGAGGTTTGAAACCGGCAACTTGTTCGTGTTACCATGAGCCTCTCGTCATGAGCAGTCATAGGAAAATTACTCAATGATTTGTCAAGCATATACTGTAGGAAGTAGCTAAAGGGCGAATCGGTGCCATGAGCTCATCTTCTCCGCGTCTTAGTGACGAGTCCAGCGCTCCCAAGCGCCGCCTGAGATGCCCAATTGGGTAGATATTCGACGTGAGTTGCCTTTCCTGCTGCTGGACGAGCCGTTAGACTCGCGGCAGGCAAGCATTTGCTTCCGATGTCGGGCGATATGTGATAAAATCAACTCGCCATCAACACCCGTCCGAGATACAGTCTGGAGCCTTGCATGCTTTCATGTCACTGCTATGCCCGATGATTTGATGCCAATTGGTACTACCTTGGAGAGGCGTACCCCGCTTGAAGTGTCAAACTCGGTGCAGTATAAATGACATGGCACCGTCTCGTATATAAGATGCGTGGTGTTGACGACGATCCCCTCTCTTACAATCTGCATGGCTGTACACACCTTCAGAGTTAATTCTACTCAAAATCACATTCCCCCGCAATAACAAAAACAATGGCAGAAGATGCGTCTCAAAGGATATCCATTGCCCATCATGAAGCCAGGGCGCTCTACGTAGCCCGCAACCCCAGATCCCAGGCCATCCACCAAGACGCCACGAGATCGCTGCCCGGCGGCAACACCCGGACGGTGCTTTACACGGATCCCTTTCCCATCTGCATGAAGTCCGCTAAAGGCTATCAAGTAACTTCCGAGGACGATAAAACGTACGTTTTGCCCACAAGACATACACGTGTCAAAGTGTGTTTTCGTATGCTAACACGTATACAACTCTTGCAGCTACACAGACTTTACCGGCGAGTTCACAGCAGCGCTCTATGGCCACTCCAACCCCGTCATCCTTGAAGCCATCAACAATGTCCTCCAAAACGTGGGCATGAATGTCGGGGCAACGACGTCCCAGGAGCAGCTGTTCGCCAAGGAGCTGTGCCAGCGCTTTGATCTGGAACGAGTCCGCTTTACCAACTCCGGCACCGAGGCCAACCTCCATGCCCTGGCCGCCGCGAGGCTCTTCACCAACAAGAGAAAGGTGGTGGTATTCAACAGGGGCTACCATGGAGGAGTCCTGGGCTTCAAGGGTGGGAAGCCGGCGCCGAACAACGTCGACCCCAATGATTGGATTGTCGTCAAGTATAATGATCTTGATGCTGCCACCAAGGCCATTGAGGGCGAGGGAGTGGCCGCCGTCTTGGTCGAGGGCATGCAAGGGAACGGAGGATGCATCGTCTCAACCGAGGAGTTTCTCATTGGGATCCAGAATGCCGCTGCAAAGGTGAGCAATATCCAGCTACTACTACTATATAGATATATATATGCACGGCTCTCACACGGTTTCATATACAGGCCGGCGTCGTCTTCATCCTCGACGAGGTCATGACGTCCCGCATCTCAGGCTCCGGCTTCGCAGGCCTTCGCGGCGTCAAGCCAGACCTAAAGACCTTTGGCAAGTATCTCGGCGGCGGTCTAGCCTTCGGCGCCCTCGGTGGCAGGGCCGACATCATGGCAGCCTTTGACCCGAGACTGTCCACCTCGATTTCGCACTCGGGCACCTTCAACAACAACACCCTCGTCACTCATGCCGGCTACGCAGGCCTGAAGCACGTCTACACCCCCGAAGCAGCGGACAAGTTTACCGAGAGGGGGTCGCAGTTTTTGGCCAAGCTTCAGGAGGCCGTCAAGGGAACAAGGATCGTCTTTACGGGCCTCGGCTCCGTCATGTGCTCTCACTTTGTCGAAGGAAGTGCTGAGATCACGGACCTGAGAAGTGCGGATGATGTTCAGGAAAATGAGCTGCTCAAGGACCTCTTTTGGTTCGAGATGCTGGAACAAGGCTACTGGGTTACGCGAAGAGGCTTCATTGCGCTGGTTTTGGAGACGCCGCAGTCGGAGCTCGACAGGTTCGTCGACGCTGTGCAGGCATTTGTATTAAAGTATAGAGAAGTTTTGGCGCTTTGAGACGAAGTCGGTCAGTTGAAAAACTAGACAGGGCAACTCTCGGCGTCATTGCTCGTTGATAGTGTAGGTGATTAGTAGATAGAAGTTGAGTTCAATTCGAGTCGAGAGGACTGAAATATGGTGGATACGTAGGTACCTACGTACCAGCGCACCTGTAACTGCACGCTTAGTGGCCAGCCTCACCAACTGATCTAGCAGTCCAACTCGTCAGCCTCGCGCAACCTTGTATCTTTTTCGCCATCCTTCCTCGCCCTTCCCTCTCCCCCTCCCAATAACCACAACATCTTCCAACGCGCCCTCTCAACCTCCACACAACCACCATCATCACATCGAAATTTCAAGCGCAATGGACTACCAGAACCGCGCAGGATCAAAATTCGGCGGCGGCGGCGTCGCCTCCCACTCCGCCACAAACGCCGACCGCCGCGAGCGCCTCCGCAAGCTCGCCCTCGAGACCATCGACCTCGACAAGGACCCTTACTTCTTCAAGAACCACGTCGGCTCCTTCGAGTGCCGCCTCTGCCTCACCGTCCACCAAAACGACGGCTCCTACCTCGCCCACACCCAGGGCAAGAAACACCAGACCAACCTCGCCCGCCGCGCCGCCCGCGAGCAGCGCGAGGGCAAGCAGAACATTGACCCGGCCACCGGCCTGCCCGCCAGCGTCGCCGCCAACCTCACCGCCCGCCGCAACGTCGTCAAGATTGGCCGCCCCGGTTACAAGATTACAAAGATCCGCGACCCCGTCACCCGCCAGCAGGGACTGCTCTTCCAGCTGCAGTACCCGGATGCCACGCCTGATTTGGCGCCCAAGTGGCAGGTCATGAACGCCTTCACGCAGCGCGCCGAGGAGCCCGACAAGAACTTCCAGTATCTCGTCGTCGCGGCCGAGCCGTATGAGAGCGTCGGCTTCAAAATCCCCGCGAGGGAGCTGGATAAGCGCGAGGATAAGCAGTTTAGCTTTTGGGATCCCGATTCCAAGGAGTATTGGATCCAGGTCATGTTCATGACGGAGCGCGAGGAGCGGTTCAATGCTGCGCCTGGCTTGACGGCGCGGAGATGATGTTTTTTTCTTTTTTTTTTCTTTGTTGGTCTTTCCAAAACGCAGAGAGCATGGAGAAGGCAGACAATAAACATGCTAATCGAGAGCCTTCCTTCTATGGGTATTACGGAGGGCTCTCGATTACTACTTATTCAATCACGGCGGAATTTTCAGCACTCGCGGCGCACGCGATGGAGATCTTGGCACACAATCATATCACGACACATGTGGTAAGACGCTGTCCGTCTTGAGAAGCAGCGCTCGTGTTGGCTGACTCGCACCTCGTATAATAGCTGTCGTCTCCAAGGGCAGTTCAGCCTCGGAACGAGGCAACATCAAGAACAGGGCAAATTGGGTGAATTCGGCATTGGCGCAACTGGCTTAGGAACATCAAGTTTAGAATACCACAAGCACACACATGTACATATCTCTGAATTTGGACATTTGGGGAAAAAACAAAGTCTCTTTCCTGATGCTTAAATCATATACTATAGTGCCAAAGAATGGCTTCTTTCGCATCTCATATATCCACAGCTCTCAAACTGATTCCGGTGCATGTGAGGGAGAAGAAAACAAAAAGGATAACGTATCTTTCAGCAATATGTAAAGGGGACGCGATGTCAGCACAATTCTTTTTCCTCCTCCCAATGCCAAGCATTAATTACCAAACGCATTTCAACGAAACAACGATCTTCTTGATTGTATCAACCTTGGCTCTTGATGCAGATTGCTCTGTCGTGTTGTGGTCAGCCGATTAAGCGTGAACCCTCCCTTGCAAACTCGTCATCGTCTCATGCCACTCTAGTCGCAGCTCTAATTCGCTTCGAATTTCAAAACCTCTAGTGCATTGATTGATGGTGCCCTGCTTTTCATCTTTTATCGGAAGTTGTTATCGAACCGCTTGAAGGTATAGCCAATGAAGGGCAGGCTCATCTCGGGCGACTCCTCGGGGGGCTGGCCATTGCGGTTCTGGATGGCCTGGGCCTTGAGCAGAGTCGCGTTGTCGGTCTGGTCAATCTCGTCGGTTGGGAAGTAGGTCGTGTCAATGTTGGACGTCAACCGGGGCTCGAAGGGAGCGCGGATGCGGCGCAGGCTGTCAAAGTCGACTCCCCGGAAGAATGCGTGGCTCTTGATCTCGTGAGCACCGCCGCGTCCAAGTCGGTTCTCGGTATTGCAGACCATGCTGTAAGGGGGAATCAGCGACTGTCTGCTTCAGGAAGTTTACAAGGGAAAAGAAGCGACACTCACCTTCGAATCAGATTCTCTGCCTCAGCGCCCAGCGTAATGTCATCGGGGAAGTACAGAGTTTGTCTCCAGTTGACAATCTTGCGGTACGTGTCGTGGCTGTCCTCGGCACAGAACGGCGGCCAGCCCACCAAGCACTCAAACATGATGGTGCCCAGCGACCACCAGTCGCAGTCAAAGGTGTAGCCGTGGCCTGTGAAGATTTCGGGGGCAATGTAGTCTGGTGTACCGACGGTGGAGTAAGCCATCAGCCGTCGAGATCGTCTCCAGTCGTTAATCTGAGATCGGTTGCTGACTGTGAGGTTAATCTGATCAATGGCAACCGAGGTGCGGTCACGCGGGCGGTTGGAGCGGCCCTGCAGCAGCTGCTGGTAGTAGTTGTTGTCGTGCAGACGGTGGAAGCCCGTGGAGAGACCAAAGTCGGTCAGCTTGACGTGGCCGCCACGGTCCAGCAGGATGTTGTCAGGCTTGATATCGCTGTTTGCAAGGTCAGTTAACGAGCAGCTTCTTGCGACTGGCATGGGAACCTACCGGTGGATAAAGCCGAGCTTGTGGACAGCCTCAATGGCCAAGACAATCTCAGCAATGTAGAACCGCGTGATATCCTCGGAGAAGATTTCATACTTGATGAGCATGGTCATCAAATCTCCACCCGGCAAGAACTCCATGAGCATGTAGAGGAAGTAGGCGTCCTGGAAGGTGGTGTAGAGCTTGACGACCCAGGGGCTGTCGGACTCGGCCAGGATATCACGTTCTGAGCGGACGTGGGCCAGCTGGTCCTTCTTGAACATTTCGGTCTTAATCAGAGACTTCATGGCGTAGACTTTGCCATCTCCCTTCTTCTGCACCAACTTAACCTCGCCAAAAGCACCCTTTCCGATAATCTTGACGGTGTTGTAGTTTTCGGGCTTGTCCTTGGTACGCAGGAACCGCAGGTACTGGCCTTCCTTCCGGCCAGCGGTCGACCACAGCTGCTCCCTCCTAGTTGCGCTCTGGCCGGGGTCCTGCAGCTTCTGCTCCAGCTCATTCTGTCTGTTGTCGTGTTGGCACGCGTCAGTGGACGGATCAATGATGGGGAAAGTTTCGAGAGGGGGCGATTATGGGCTGGGTTCAGATAAAGGCAATAAGGGCAGCACTATGCACGAGGGGGTCGAACGTACCTTTGGTTGCGCTCGCGGGCCCGCTTTACGCTGTCCTTGAAGAAGTCTGCGGCCAGCTGAGAGCACTTCTTCTGGTTGCTGTTGGCATTGGTGCCGTATTTATCAGGGTTCCTCTCTGGGATGGGCTGGAACTCGGGCGACGAGACAGCGCCCTGGGAGGGCATAGGAGGCGCGTAGTTGCCGTAGCTGGCCTGCTGCCCCGAGCCGCCAGCAGTGCGCGGACGTCCTGACGACGGGCCTCGCGCAGCATATTGTCCTCCCCTCGCGGCACCGCCGCCAAGGTTCTGGTGGGAGAACTGGTGAGCGAGGCCCGTGTTCGGGTCGTTGCCAGCCTGCGGGGGGTAGGCGGCGTTGGGATAGTCGCTGGTGACGGCCTGGCCAGGATACTGCTGCTGGCCATACTGGCCCTGCGGGAAGTAGCCCTGCTGAGGGTAGCCGGCGCCGTAGGGCTGCTGCTGCTGCTGCTGCTGTGACTGCATGCTGCCAGACTGAGGACCCGGGAAGACGGGCTGGGGGAAGGTCGAGGGCGTCGTGGGAAAGGCTCGATCGTTGGCGGCCGGCCGTGAGTTGTCGAAGTTGAGGTGCAGGCGACTGGAATCCATATCCGGCGATAAGGCAATCAAATCAGATCGAAATCCCACGTCGTCAGAACAGAGGGCCGGGCTGGGCTGGGCTGAGCTGGACTGGGCAGGTGAGCAGGCAGGCAGGGCCAGCTGTATGCGAGCCTGACGGGCCTGGCCTGAGGGGTTGGCGGAAAGGGGGAGAGAGGCGCTGGAGACGCTGGAGACGCTGCAGCGGCCGCTGCCTGAGTGGCCAATTCGAAGCGAAAAGGGCGGGCTGGCCCAGTTTTCGGGGGAGCAGAAGGCAAGGGTCTGGGTCGCTGATTGGGGCGTGAGCTGTGCCGTGCCGTGGCAGTCTTGCAGCTTGAAAACAACAAGCACAGCTCCTTTTGACGATGGATTGGGATTGTGGGCTTGAAGGGTCTAGTAGGAGGTAGCATCTCAGTAGTACTAGTAGGGGGGGCAAGGGGGGGGGGGGGGAGAATGGGGGGCGGTCAACCGCGACAACGGGGCGGGGTGGTGCATGACGGTACTGGCGCGGTACTTGTCTGGCGCGGTGCAGCTGCGCAGAGTTGCGCGGCACGCAGTCGGTGTTGCAGGTATCCTGCAAGTCGCAGGGGCTGCTGCAGGTGGGCACAGTGCTGGGTGGCCGCTAAAATTGGCCGCTAGCAGCTTGGGGGACCTCATGATATGTCAGGCCTGGCGACAGGTCGACTTTGCCTGCTGATGATGCCGAGTCAACAGAGCGAAGCAAAAGGTTCTGGTTTGGCTGGACGGCATATGAGTGAGAATATTATACAACTGCTTTGTTTCAGTTCTGATGCCAAATGGGGAGGGATCGATGGGTGCGAGCACGGCTCGAGGCTATCACGGCAAGGGACAGGAACCATCACTGCCCGCATACCTAGACTGCGTGTACGACTGTAACACATGCAACTCCCGACTTCATGCTGCTAATCCTGCAAATGTAGGTTCGCTCTTGGATCTTGTTTATCTTGTTTCGGATTTCCTCTTCTTCTCCTACGTCTGCTAATCTTGTCCCGTTTTCGATCCGTTTCGCCACAGTTTCTGTGATGCCACTTGTTCATCATCTGCTAGCCTCTTGCCGTTTCCATTCAGGGGTCCAGCCTCCAATCCCGTCCTGTACGGCATATATTAGCCATCTATGTATCAAAATCAAGCCTCTCTCACCACCAGAAACAAGCCAGTCTTGTTCCCAATATCCCCGGCATGATTCCAGACGCTATAACCCGTTCTGCTAGTCATTGATTGGATCTCAGGTTGACCTGCAACGCTACTAGCTTGTGCAACCAGCCATGTCCTTGGTCAGAGATGGAAGCCCTACAGAAACCGAATCCCCAAGGAACCAACGCATTGTGCTACCACACCTACCACATGCCTTCCGCAGTTGTTCTGATAGATTCATATGCCCAAGGATTCCTGCAGGATTTATTTCGTCTAGCATTTGCCAAGCATCACTCTCTATCCAGTCTCTTGCAGTCCGATTATGCTCTAACCTGGCATAACAGGGATGACATGTGAGCGAAGGCAAACCCTTGTTCAAAGCAAGAACAGGGCTTAATCATCTTGACTACTCATTTTACAGAGTGTGACAAAGACGAGATTCAATCAACTAACTAATTATATGAGAAGCACTGTAGTTGACATGCTTGCCAATGATTATCCTCGTTTTGCTGTGTCATCGCAAGAGACGGGAGGCATGGCCGTGACCGTTGCACTGTGTCACTTCCAGCGGTACTTTGGCTTCAAAGGTTGCCCGAATCCCGACGGTCAACGTGAAGCAGGTCAAGGGCCAAAAGCAGACAAACTTGTTCTCATCTTGTCAGTTTATAAGCGGAGCGGTGCAATCCTTCTTGTACCTTGAGGGAGACTCCTGAACACAGCAAGTTGAACCAGAAAAGTCTTGAAAGGCTGGTCCACCATGTTTGGCGGCATTGAGGGCCACCCTTATCGCGTCCCGCATCCTTATCGCATCCGATTTTTTTCCAACCTCATGACAGCATCAACCTACGAGAGCTTACAAGACATCTCTAGTAATAATAGCTCGCGCACATACCCCGAACAAACCATGCAAAGACTCACATAGCCCCTCGCAACCATTCTATTACTTTTCCAATCCGAACCTCTTCGCTCTTTTATTCAAGTCACAACAATCCAGGCCGCACCACCATGGCCGACTCCAAACCTCCTCCCCCGCCGACCCCGGCCTCGGCAACCACCCCAACGCCTCGCCCGCGCAACCCCGTCTTCAAGATGATGGGCCTCCCGGCTCTCCCTCGCAAGCTGCCCTCCCGCAACTGGCTCATCTTCTGGACCCTGTCCTCCTCCATCGCCGCCGCAATCATCTACGACAAGCGCGAGAAGAACCGCGCGACGGCGAAATGGCGCCGGGCCGTTGCGCCGCTCGCCAAAGAGCCGCTGGCCAACGCGAGCCAGCTGCCCCGCAAGCTCACAGTCTACCTCGAGGCTCCCCCAGGAGACGGTCTGCGCACTGCTCAGGATCACTTCATCGAGTACGTCAAGCCGATTCTGGCGGCTTCGGGTCTTGATTGGGAGTTTGTCCAGGGCCGGCAGCAAGGCGATGTGCGAGCGGCGGTGGCCGAGAAGATTAGGAGATCCAGGAAGGCCCAGGAGCGGCCCGGTGAAGAGCTTCCTCAGACGGATGATGCCATCATAGAACAGCAGAGGAAGAAGATTGGGCTGCCAGAATACGAAGGCATCAAGGGCGACATCGTCATCGGCCGGCATACCTGGAAAGAGTACGTCCGGGGACTTCACGAAGGATGGCTAGGACCGCTCGACCCACCGCCATTGCCAGTCATCGAAACTCCTCAAGAGAAATCCGATTTCGAAAGCACCTCGACCGGGGGTGATCCCGACAAGAAGCCAGAGGAGAAGAAGCCTGAAGAAGAGAAAAAGGATGAAGCGCCGAAGCGACCACCGCAGCCTCGACCTCACAACTCCCCCGACGACTACCCCTCTGCCACGCTGCCGGCCAGCATCCCCGCCGAATTCTCGCCCTCCGCTCCTGTACCCTTCCCTCACCGCCTGGGCTTCCGTCACACGTTTGTCCGTCTGGGCCGCTTCCTGACACGCCGCCACCTGGCAGACGACATTGGCCGGGAAGTCGCCGCAGTCTGCTTTGCCGCAGCCCGCGACTGGCGCGAAGTCGACGGCCAATACGAGCAGCAGCTCGTCCTGAAGCAGGAGGAAGACGACTGGCCCAAGTTCGTCTGGAAGGACGAGCCGGAACCGGCCGACGACGCGGAAAAGGCTGGCAAGGCCGCCGAGCCGCCCAAGGAGCGCATCTGGGCCTCGCCCGTGGTGATTGACTCGCGCATCGCGGGGAGGATGCGGCGCTTCGAGATCCGGCCCGAGGATGAGGCGCGCGCAAAGGAGATTGTGGTTCCGGAGGCGGAGATTGAGGGATGGATGAAGCGCAACCTGAGGAGTCTGTATCATTGGGGAGCCAGCTCCTTTGCGAGCAAGCCCAAGGGTCCCAATGTGGGAAACTTGGATGATGATTGAAGTCGAGGAGCCTACGAGAAGTTGGTTGAAGATGTGCTCAAACAGAGGTAGGGTTATTGTGGGTTATCCTGTATCAACAAGCATGTGCTGTACGAATATGTATGAGTGAAGTGTGTGGATTGGATACAAGGCTTGAAGCTTGAAAATAAAAAAAAATCCCCACCATATTGAGAAATTGATTTATGGATGGATGACGGAATGGCTCATGATAGAGGGCGTATGTACACATTTACCTAGCTTTGCCAGCTGTATTAATATCACACGTGCAGTCTCCTCTTGTCACTCGAGCCGCGTCCAGTCTCTCGCTCTCGCATCCATCGTGTCAATCCTCGTCCTCGTCACTGTCCGAACCATAACTCACAAGCCCCAAGCTCGGCTTCTTCTCTTCCTTTGGAGGCCCCCCCCTTTTCTCACTCTCATCACCACCACCCTCAATCTTCCCCTCCTTCTTACTACCACCACTCTCAACCTCCTTCTTTTCAGGACCATCACCGTGACCACCCCTCTTCACCCCATCCTTCCCCTCAGCACCAACAGCAACCTTCTTCTTCACCCCCAAAACCTCCCTCTCGTGATGCCTCTTCCTCTTCCGCCCCCCAACAACCCACTCCTCCGCCTCCTCCCCCCCTCCTCCTCCACCTCCCATATCCTCGCTCGCCGTCAAAGATCCATCTCCACCGCTACCACCACCAGCGCCACCACTACCCGTGCTCTTCTGCCTCTCCCGAAACGCCTTCAGCCCCTCCTCAATCTCCCTCCTCGCACGCTCCTCCTCAGCCTTTTCCCTCGCCCTCACTTCATCCAAGAACTCAATCTCATCGTCGTCCAGCGCACGGAACTGATTCTTGAGCTTATTCTGCTCCTCAAACGCCGCCTGTTTCGCCGCTATATCCTCGCCAAAAGAAAAGAAAAGCACAGAACCAATCAGCAAATCCATAATTCCTCTCATCTGCGGTTCTATCACCAAAATTACAGAGCAAAAGCAATAGAAAAAAAAGGGGGAGGGGGGCAAAAAAAAAACAAACCTTTATTCGCCTGCAATATATCATACAAGCTCTGCTGCTGCTGTCCCCCTGCTTCCCCCGCCAACTCCGCCCTCGCCCGCTCCCTCTTCCTCCTCTCCTCCTCAAGCTCCCGCTGCACCGCCTCCCATTCCACCACGCTCTTCTTCTTCGCCAGCGGCTCTCTCGCTGCTACAGAAGAGGCGGCGGCAGCAGCCGTGGTGCTTGTGTCATTTGAGTCGTTGTCCGCGGCGCCGCCGCCGCCGCTGCTGATCGTCCCGCCGGAAACGAAGCGGCCAGACATGATGGCGTGTTAATTCTTTTCTTTTCCACAGCAGGTATCCCTTTCAATACTGAACTTGCGTGGCAATGGGGTTCGATATAAGTAGGTAGGTAGGTAGCTTCCGTAGATTTCCGCCCTAAGTCTTTGTTTGGGCTTAATCTAGGTAGGTTCGGTTTGGTGAGTGACTGTCGTGTACTGTAAAAATATGTAGTTGTGTTTGATGGTGTAATCGAAGATGGACTCGGGCGAGGAGGTACTGAGCGGCTCACACGATGAGATGGAAGGCGACGCGGAGAAGACGCGTGATCAGGAGCGTCTTGGCAGCAAATAACAAGAGCGATCACGAGGGAAGTGAAGGAGTATATTACATGTATCTTGTCAATGGAGTCAATTGAGCCAATGGATTCAATATAGTTGTGGACCAAAGACATGAGAAGCTCCAAGTCAAGTTCGGGGAACGAGTTCAGAGATAAAGGCAAATGTTCTCTCGGTCAAACGTTCCGACATTCAGCCGAGTCGCCCCTTGGCTCACGACGGAAGAGACGGAGTGGCAGCCACACGTTCAGAGTGTGTCGAGAAAAGGCACGATTTCATTAAATATACAAATGAAGGTCAGCCAGGGCTGCTCATCGGTTTAATTGTACTATAATGCCACAATAGGATTGCCATCGGAATCGCCAGAGGAGGCGTAGCCTTCTCGTCGACCTTCAGATTGCCGCCCATGCCATGACAGAGCCTCCCGTGATGCAACTTCTCAACCATCGTCCATCTTCCCGCACACCCACAAACGCTGCCCGTCTCTGTTGCTGCCATGGGAAGGATGCAAGCAGAAAACGTCTTCGCCCACCCATACCAACTGATCCGCTCACTCTCATCACCACGCCGCTCGCTCGCTCACTCGCTCGCTCACGATCTGCCAACCCGCTCCGCCAACCATGATCTCCACAACGACATGGAATTGAGCATAAGGATACAGAATATATCGCATTCGTGCGATGGAAAGAAATGAAAGGAAAGCTCATTAATCGAACAAAGAAAAGTAATCCCCTCACCACCAAAGCCAGGTCTCCTTCTCTACAAAACCAACCCATTGGAAAAAGGCGTCTTAACATCTCATGGAAGAAAACGTCCGAGAATGCATCCGTGATGCTCGACCAACCTCGGCAGATGCCGAATGATGTTTGAGAGGTGTGGTCGCGGGACGGCTGAAGAAGAGAAATCGGAATGACAAAAATGCGCCGCAAAGAAGAATAAAAAAAAGTATAGCCGGTCCAATCTTCCGTTTTACCCGCTGAAGACAATGCATGAAAAGCGCCCTCATAAAAACCCATTTTCACAGACACCGAATCCCACCACAGTCAAACAAGTATAGTGTCATATGTACTTTCCCCAAACTTTTGAAACTTTGTTGCTTTTGTTGCGTCGTGAACAATGTCGCTAGGAGCCAGCGCGGAGAACTTGGTGTTCCAACCAATCCGCAAGCACGGGGCGAAGCCAGCAGGAACACTTTCGACGACACGGTTCCGACCTTTTGTGTTTGTTTGTTTGTTTTTTTCTTTTTCTTGGTTTCAAGCTTCTGCCGAAAACCGCACTTGCTGTCGAAGGTGAGGAGCCCCCGAGTGTAGGCAGTGCAAAGACTGTTTTCCAGATCTATCCAGGTACCAATAAACGGTACCAATGCCAGGTCTATATGTGCAGCGCGCGCAAACGCAAGGGATCCCATCGAGAATGGTATCAAGGGAGTAAAAAGATAGAAAGACGTGATAAAAGAGTGGATAATGTTCGCTTCCGGTGCTGAACCGTAACGAGATGTGGCCTCCATCCATTTGGACCCGCTGTCGAGGCCTAGGCGAGAGGAACAGCAGGGTTCGCGATCTCGTGGCGGAGGCAGCAGACTCGTCGTCGTCGTGCCGAGAACATTGTGTAGTGACAAGTAAGGTGTCAATCCTGCGCCGTACCAAACCATTATAAAACATGTACCGTGAAAAGGAGAAGAAAAAGCCGTGTATAAGATAAGCCACCAATGACCACAGTGCCTGTGCCGTGAGTACGGAGAAAATTCCACAGAGCACGTTGAGATCGAAATCTGTCATGATGGCATCGTACAAGTGGCTGAAGAAAGACGTGCTGAAACTGAACGCGCGTGGAGGACTTTTTTTCGTGCCGGGGGTATCTGAAAAAACACGCGTCTTCTTGAACAGAGAAGATGGCGAAAACTCGTAGCCATTAGAAACTCGAAATCCGCACCGTTTTTTTCCGAAACCGAACAGAGAAAGAAAAGGAGGGCCCTATTGAAGCCCAGTTGAATGATGAAAAGGAAAATCGTTGCAAACATTAACCCATGACGGGCTGACCATATCCATGGGACATGAAGTAAGGCGTCTGTTTCATGGGCTCGACACAGCCCGAGCAGCTGCATTCGGCAACGCCGTGCTCCCATCCGCTGTGGTGGTTGTAGGGGTAGTGAGAGGAATACGGCGATTGGCGGTTGGGGTAAAACGTATTGTGAGCGGGAGGCTGGGGGTACCGGCTGCTGTACTGAGCAGCGGCCTGAGCGAACCACTCATTGTAGCGAGCGTTGCTGGAGGCAGCCGACACGGCGTACTCGGGAGTGCCATAGCCGGAATCCGGCGGAGTGAGAGGCGCGTTCCACGGGTTGTTGGCCCACGTGGTCTCGCGAGAGCGGTAGCTCTGCTGCTGGGTCTTCATCGCCTGGTAGCGCTCATACTCTGCGACCTGAGCCTGGATGTAGCGGAAGTGAGGTGAGCAGCGGTTGCTGTTGTACCTCGCCAGGTCGGTGTCGATGGCGGGAACCAGAGCAGCCAGACGCTCTCGGCTGGCCTGGGCAGCTCGTCGCTTCTTCATCTGCTGCCACTCACGCCAGTTGTCAAGCCAGGCCTGGTAGTCCTTGCTATGATCAAGATTGACGTAGAGCCGCCAGTTCATCGCCTGGAGCCAGTCATACTCCAGGGTGTTGAGCTCGGAGACGGGGATGCCGCTGACCTCAGACCAGGATCGGTTCTGAAAGGTGTTGTCGTCCAAGAATTTGCTGCCGAGGAGAAGCGAAACGGTAAGGAACCGCCAGACTTGACCCTCGGAGGCCTTGTACGGGCCCTGGCTCTTCATCGAGTTGATCCTCTTGGCGAGGTAGTTCATCCCGAGGAGAATGGTCGTACTAGGCAGTCTCGTGGAGGTGAGAATCTGCGACACAAACTTGCGAAACGGCGAAGTGACGCTGGCCTCCGGAGTGACAACGCGGGTTGCCATCTCGGCGACATACTCAGCCATCATGTCGACCTCGTAATCGAGGACGGCACAAACGCCTCCGGGCATGATGACGGTAGTGGAAGAGGTCCGACGAAGATCGAGCTGATCTTTGTCGGGCGATGATTTCTTGTCGAGACGTAAAACAGCTCGCGACTACGCACGGCTGTCTTGTGGATGGTCTCGGGACAAGAAAGCGAAGACGACGAGGCGGCGCGCGAAAGGAAAACGTCGATGTGGCTCTACTGTGACGCAAAAGCCATCTAACGGTGTATGTCGGTGGGTCGAGGGTACGACGAAAAGCTGGATGAGCGTGATTTGAAATGGGAAAGGAACCGTGACAAAAAAGTATCGCAGTGAAGCAGTCGGTCGAAGGATATGGCCGTCCAAGGTGCAGGAAGAGTTCGCTCAACGTCGAGTATAAACGTCGTCGTTATTCAACGGGGGCGAGAAGCGAGACCGGAGAAGAGATGGGGAAAGAAAAGATGCAAAGGCGGGATGGAGGAAAGCTTTTCTGTGCCAGGTTGTTAGTATATTAGTCGAAATGACTTGTGTGATGACAAGAATATTGGAGGGTCGGCGCGCAAAATGAATGCAAGGAAAGCGTTGCAAATCAGACGACACGAAATCGTGTAAGAGAGGAAATCATCGGACCAAAGGAGCCAGGCATTACGCATCAACCACGTTTCGCCACTGGCAGATAGAACAATGCCAACTCGTCAATCAACTGACTCTTCGTCGTGACGCAGTGCCGAGCAGCGACCGGTCGATGGTGTTGGGCATTGCAGTAGGTAGGAGGAGCGAAAGCAAGACAAAACAGAAGAGCCGTCTGGCTGGCTTCGCGGTGGGACAACGCGGTACGTTCGATGGGCAGGATCGCTGCGACGAGGGTCGGTGATGCAACTAGAAGAGCGGCTACTAACCTCTATGTGATAGAGAGGTCCCGAGAGGAGCTTTTCAGAACCCTCCAACGATGTGAACGTCGAACGGATGTATAGACGTGACCGGCTTGGGGGAAGCGGCCACTGCAGACAAGCCGTGGGAACACAGAGAAACGACCTGCACAGCAGCGAGCTGGAGGCAAACAAAAGGGATAGGCTCACGCGAAGAACCTGAATCCAGACGTCGACGAACGATGACGAGTTCGCGACGAGGCTTGTCGAGAATCGGCGGATTCGGAATTCGGTGGAGGAAGGGGAAGGGAAAGGGTTGAAGAGGAAAAGATGAAAAGAAGAGGGTGAGGTGTGGGAAGCAGAAAGCAGAAACAGGAGCGCGGGCTCGAGATGATGAAGGCTACGGGCGGCACAGGCGTCGTTAGGGCATGGCCTGGCCTGGCCTGGTATGGCATGGCATGGCATGGGCAAGGCATGCAGTGGGCAAGGATGGAAGGCATGGGCGGTGGGACACAGCGAGCGAGTGTGGACGGTGGGCAGTGAGTGGACAGTGGGCAGGACAGTGGACGGGCAGTGGGTAGCAGAGAGCAGCCGGCGCTAGGTGGTAGGTGGTAGCCACTATTACTGGGCGCTGGCCATGTGCTAGGCGGCTGGGTGGGAGTGGCAGGTGGCAGGAACATGGAACATGGAACATGGAACCTGCTGGGCTGGGCTGGGGCTGGTACCAGCGCGGGTACCGCTCCAGCACTCGTACCAAGCCGGTATTTAGTGGGCTCCGCGCCATGCACGCCTGGGACCAGCGGCTTTTTTTGGTCTCTGGCTCCCCGAGTCCTTTTCTGCCGCTTGCTTCTGCCAGTGCTAGTCCGCCCAACGTGCTTTCCATCTTTACCGCATCGTGGCCACAGGTACCAGCGCATGGCATTTGGGCGTGGCAGACAGCAGATGCAGGACTTGCTCGACTTGCCTTCTAAGGTACCTTAGCATATAAAGCATCATGGCGTGTTTATACCTAGGCGACGCTCCGGTGAAAGTACCTACGTTGCAGGTATTAATGCTACTAGGTACCTAGGTACTCTCCGATACGAGTGACTTCGGTTGTACAACTACAGCACTTGCATTGCGTCGTGTCGGTCTTTCTCCTTCCTTTTTTCTTTTTCGTTTTCTTTATTTTTATTTTTCTCGCTCTTTTTTGCCCCGGAGCTGGTGGGGCCCTCGCAGAGCCACTGACGGGACAACTAAGACTCAACGGAGTAGCGGAATGGGGGTCGCAGGCTGGACTGCCACAAAAGGTCGGGCAGGTACCCCGGGGCGCAGAAGGGGCTGGGACGGTACTTGCCCGCCGGACCCCTTCTCCACATCCTGGCGTCAAATGGGGGATGGGGCGGTTCTGGATAATTTTGCACTCAAGGGGGGCGCCAGAAGAAATTGAGCGCCGCCTGATTGGACACGGGCTGCTCCGCAAATACATCAGCGTGCCTCGCCTCCTCGCCCAGGTCACTTGTGCGTACCGCCAGTGCGAGCCATGCACCCAAGGATTCCGGTCACTACCTGGAAGGACGTGTAAGAGTACAAGAGACTTCGCATGAGACGCCTTGGACGTTCATTCCGCACATTCAGTTGTAGGGCGGCGCACCCCCATGACATGCCCTGTTCGAAGTACCGGCAAAAGTACATACTCGTACTCCAGACTCGTGCCCCTACTGCAGGCAGATGGCTGGGGAGGGTTGGGGTTCTCTTTGCTTGCACTGGGAGAACTTCTGGTACCTCCGGCTCAACAACCTGAAGTCCCGCCTGAAGCCTCTTTCAGGTTCTTCTGTGGTGAGGTGGGCTGTTTCCGGCACACGAGGGGCGTCAACGCAGTGCCATTGCCACCAGACGCTGGCTGGTAGTGCCTGCCTGTCCGGGACGGCTGGAGCTCGACTTGATTCTTGTTGGAAGCTGCGACCGATTGAACTTGAGCAACTGTGGCACGATGATTTTTTTCGTTTTTTTTTTCTTCCTCCGCTATTAGCTGCCCTTTCTCTGTTCAATTTTTTCTATCTGCGTTTCTGCCCCTATTCAACACCCAGGCTAGCACAACGGCCCCATCAGACGAGACGCCCTCACTTGGTTCAATCACTCTCGTGACAAGAACCAGAGCCGATGTTTGAGCTTCGACTTCCGAGCTTCTCGTGTGTGTGCGTCTGTGTGTGTATCGTACGGGTAAGACTCGACCAAAAGCCCGTGCGAGCTCTGGTGACTGCACTTTGGCAGATGCTTGCTCACTCACTCGCCCTTCTGGGGTCGGAATGACGACTCACATGCAGGCATCTTTGGCGACTTGGCCGGTCGTCTGATGGGATGTGACGCAAAGCAAAATTGAAGGGGTGGCCGGAACGGGCGACCCAAGGCGTGCCTGGAACAGACGTCCTCAGCACCGTCTCCAACAAAGCCGTCGTCACTCACTGCACAATCTTGTCAAAAGGGAATGGGCCGGGTCCACCAATCCGCCAAGTCCCTGGCACGGGGCCCTGTCCGTTCTCGAACGAGGTGTCCTATCTGCGAGTCACGGAGCGAACCCTTCTAGGCGCCTTGCTTCTCTTCTCGAGCTACCACCGGATCACACCAAGCAGTCGCATCGCGCTTTGCCGGAGCAGCGTTGTTCCCTGCACAAACACAGTGGTATTGGTAATAGCGCCAGCAAATGTTCATCTGGATAAGGTCCAAAGACCCTGCATTCTCAAGTGGGAATCGGCGCCGGCGCGGCGTCTTTCGTGTGAGAAGTCTCTGGTGTGGTCCAGTCCGTCTCGTCGACACTGCAGTGCTTCTCTCGTGGCGGTGCTGCACCCTCGCCGAGGCAGTCCAAGCCCTGATCGACACTTTGGATTCCTTGGGTGGCCCGAAGAAGAGCCCGTTGTAGTTCTGGTATTGGCCATCTTGCAGAGCGACGTCCAAGTTGCTGCTTGCTCTCCTTCCACAGGGGCGCTCATTAGGTACCTCACTTGGAGAGACTTATTGAATCAAAATTGGTCCACCGCTTTGCTAACCTTGTACTCACAGCCCAGGACAGAGCAAGGCCACAAACAACATAGGCACGAGTAGTGAAGGCTCTCGCCGCAGCGTCTCATGAGTGGTCCAGTCAGATTAGTTCACCGGCAACCGCCTCGATTGTTTGGTCCCATCCCTTGCTTGATTCAATCAGCGGCGCATTTGCAAGGGGGGTTTGTACTGTACTTCTGCCACATCAACAATCCTGTACAATGCACGCCTGATCGCAGAGTCTTCATCTTACCCGTTTCGCCGGGCTAGCGCATAAAAAGAAAACGGGAAAAAGAAAAAAAAATAGGGAAAAAAAAATCCGCCACGGTTTTAGGTGATGGAGAATGCGGAGAGAAATCCCTCAGATGCCCACCAAAAAACGACAAGTCTATTTTCCTGCGATGTGCGAGGTCAAAGGCCGATCAGCTCGTACGCTTCCTCCTGCCCTGGACAAGCACCAGGTTCATTTGCCAGGTACAGAGTCGACTTGCATTGTACGAGTACACATCCGAGTACGAGCACAAGTACTGTAGGCAGCCCTTCAGCGCTTTTGCAAAGAGACAAAGACGCGTCGCCTATCAACATTCTGAGGTGGTGGGCCATATGCAGCCAGACAACCAGTGGCAAGGCAATTTCTGTCCTTTCTGCAATGCTGTCCTATCCGTCAATCATGATTGAGCAGCTCGTCGTACGCTGTGAGTCAACTGGACAACGAACAGGGCGCTGTCCGCTGTCGAGGTGATGGGATTTCCAACAGACGCGCGATTCGCGCTTTGGCTCCGGCTTTTACGGCCGACGGCCGGAGGAGGCGAAAGGAGAATCGGCCGGCTAGTACTATGTAATACTGAATGTCTGTTTTTCACAGCTCACGAGGCGAACTGCGACTACGGAGTACTACTACTGGTGAGCGCTTTGCCGACTCTTGATGCACGCCTCGTTATTTTCCTGCTACTAGTCCACTAGCACATAGATACATACCTACAGCATGTATGCGTGCCTACGTACGAGGACAAGAAGTGTTTTTCTCCGAACACATGACGACCGACAGGCCAGTCCACCGTGCTGTGCGAAGCGAGCAGCATCTTGTTCCATGGGAGGCTGGCAGATTGATTATTTACCCCCGCAAAACCTGCAGGCAGTTGTCGCTGCTTTCAGCAT